CAAGGCTTTAAACCTCAACTGCGCCCCAGACGAGCCACCTTGGACCCGAAACCCTAAACTAAGAGACCTCAAACCCTAAACTCTAAACCCCAAAACCTCAAACCCTAAACTCTAAACCCCTAAACCTCAAACCCTAAACTCTAAACCCCAAAACCCCGTAACCCAACACCAAGCAAAAGATCTCATGCCCTCCGCCTTGAACCCTCAAAACCATGCTGGACGTGTCTCAGGCCGTCCCAGCTAATATAGGGACTTTCATGATGAGAATAGAGCTTTATAGGTACATTGTAGTAATTGTAGTGTACTTACACTAAGGAACCCCAGGAATAAGATTGACAACAAGACTATGCAGGCGATTGTGTTAGAACCCAGCAGTGACTTCAGAGCCCTCAACGCCAAAGCGGCTGAAGCCATGGTAACGTTCATAGCCGCCTCCTCTTGCTCCCGGAATGCTCGCGCACTTGCCTGCACAATGCAAGCACTGGCAAGCACCGGCTTGGATTTGCAGTTTGAGCTTTGAGTTTCAAGATCTAGGCTCTGGCTCAAGTGGTCCTGGGGCATTTTTAAAGCTGATGTGAAGCCCTACCTACAACTGTACGAAGTCTAGCCTTGATTAGACCCTAGACCCTAATCTTATCCCAGTCCTCTAAAACAGCACTGAACCAGAAATCATATTGTTCGGCCATACAAGCAGGATCAACCCTGGGTTCTAGATGATCGCGATGATCGCAAAATCGGATAGAACAGCCGAGAGGGTCCTCAGTACCTATATATCAGGAATGTACGGTTTCTGTCATTGGAATTACTATTCTGGTTGAGGTAAGTATTCCCGCAAGACCCCTTGGGAACGTCATGAACGCGAACCGGCGAAGACTTTAACTCCGAGACGCTTACACCCTGAACACGTAACAAAACCCTAAAGACTTGCACCCTAAACCCGAATGCGCTCGTGAGGGTCTTCGGAGCCCCACAAAGAAAAGGGGGCAAGATTTGGCAGCATTCACACTGTAAGGACCACCAAGTTGAGCATCTCCAATGTGAAGAAATCCCCCCAAACTCCAAACCCAGAAGACACCCTTATGAAATCCGCAGCCACGCCTTATTAAAGCTACAGTACAGGTCATTAAGGACCATCAGGCCTCTACTTAGGGTCTACTTAGGGATACTTCCCTATACCCTAAACCCTAAACCCTAAACCCTAAACCCTAAACCCCAAACCCCAAATCCTAAATCCTAAACTCCTAAACCCTAAACCCTAACGGTCCTAAATCCTCTACCCAAAACCCTTAACCTTTGCGGGTTGCCACAACAGCCCCCCGCTCGGTCCGACAGCAGAACCCGCTTGAGCCTCCGCCTCTCGCAGAGACGGGACAAGATCCGTCTCCACCTGGGACGTCTTAAGCGGGTCACAAGGCTTCCTGGGTTAGGGGTTGGGGTTTAGGGTTTAGGGTTTAAGCGGTTCACCAGGCTTTCTGGTTTAGGGGTTTAGGGTTTACTAGTTCCCCAGTAGCCCCTTAGTAACACGTGTGCCGTTTTGCCTACGATTACCCGAATAAGGGAACCCAGAAAGAAAAAGGGCGAAAGGGTACTACTGGGCAACCTAGTTTAGAGTTCTCAGAAGCCTACAGAGCTTTTGGCCGGCTCTTCAGCAAGGGTTTTGATCTGGGGATCTAGTTTATTTATGTTATTATGCTTATTATTATTATTATTATTATCACTATTATTATATTTATAATATTGTCGTGGTTTTTGCTTGTTTTTTGGTGCTTTTTTAGCGAGTGTAGGGTTTGTGGGGCTTTGAACTTAGGTCCAGCCATGTTTTGGGGAACCCCGGAGCTCCCGAAATTTAGAGGCACTCCCTTGCTTACATAGGGCCCTCTTTGTCTTAAGCCAGGGGAATAAAACCCTAAACTTTCAGACTACTACTAAAGTCTAAGAACCCCAAAAAAGTTTAAAGGTTGGGGTATTGGGAAACTGAGGATGGAGACATAAAGATAATGCCGCTCTATTCAAGGAGTGTGCTAGCACTCCCGGGGTCGCTGAATTAGGATCCCTTGCGGTTTAGGGTTTAGGGTTTAGGGTTTCGAGCCGGCAAGGGACTCTGATTTAGAAGCGCTACAACATTCCTGGAACAAAGGCAATAAAACGCGAGACGATCCTCGAATCTGTAAGCCTCCTGCAAGAGCCCTTGGACCCAGCACCTTGCAACCCAGCGTGTGTAGTGTTGAGTCTCAGAAGGGCTTCGGCCCTAATGTAGAAGCCTCACTACTGAATTATAATAAGGACCTCTCAGGAATAATAGGTTCGTAACGGTTAGTACATTTGACTTCTATATTATACATTGGCTTCTTCAAGCTCAAGGCCTTGAGCATCACCCTTTCGGTTTAGGGTTTAGGGCTTAGGGTGACAATGTCCCTTACTAACCGCAGGTTGCCCGGCAAACATCCCGCAGAGCAGAGGTTCTCGGGACCCTGACGGGCCTTGACGTCATCCGCAAGCTTCGAGTGCGGACAGGGAGGCCGCGGCATCAACAAGAACACCTTTGAGCTTTGTTGCAATGGGAGCTTCTGGTCTATAAAACCCGGGTTTTCTGAGGTGGGTGAGAAGTGATTCCTGGTGTTTGGGCTTAGGGTTGAAAGCTGTTTTAGGTTTGGGCTTTGTGATTGTACACAGGCTTGTTATTTTGGAAGGAAGCCTGTAGCCTTTATCTATATGAAGCCTCGAAAAAGGTGTACGGGTTGACTTGTTCACGATTTCGATTCGCTGACTGAGGGTTGGATTCGAGATTGGCGATGTCGGGTTCAGGATGCAAAGCTGCGAACACAAGTTTGGGGACATGCAAGCAGACCATGCTGTTTTGTGGAAGCTCGTCCCGGTCTGTTTCTGAGTTGACGCAACAGTCATGCCTTTCTTGCTATGAGACTCCGCGTCGGGGTCAGAACAATAAGCCAATACTACTAATGCAGGGGCCATAATTAGAATAGGGTTTTCGGGCATATTATACCATAACTATAATAAGGAACCCCGCAAAATAGTATTGAAAATTCTTTAGGCCCTATATTACTCACAGCTGCAAAATGCCAGGTGTCATTGCGTTTGCTGCTCTGTCCGAGAACCATGGAGAGCTGTGGCTGCTGCAACTGACAGAGCCCGAATAGAGAGACCAGACACTCTGCGAATATATCCATATATGTTCGCATTCTGTGATCGTACGTGTATGTATGTATGTATGTATGTATGTATGTATGTATGTATGTATGTGTGTATGTATGTATGTATGTGTGTATGTATGTATGTGTGTATGCATGTATGTATGCATGTATGCAGTATTGTATCTTTATTTCGATTTATGTCGTGTATTCCACAGAGTAAGCGTTCAATAACGCTCCTTTCTTCGCGTCGCCATCACCAAAGGTGAGACGTTGCAGGTGAAACTTTTGTGCGCGAGCCTCCTTGACCATTCCTCTTTATCCCTAAGGGTCCAAGTACCCGAATACTGGGGTTTCAAGGTCGAGAAAACCATTCGGAGTATGGATTTCGAGACCCTGAACCCTAAAACCCTAATGCCCTACTATTTCGGGGTACCTCAAACCCTAAAACCCTACTGTTTTGGGTACCTAAAACCTTACTATTTTGGGCTCTGAACCCTTCAAAGCTAAGGCGCTCAGACCTACGTGGGTAGCTCTCTCTAAAGTATAGGGTCCCTTTTGGGGTCCCTTTTGGGGTGCCGTGCTATGTGGGGGGGACCTAAATAAAAGGGACCCTAATTTCGAGAACTACCCAGTTTAGGGTTTAGGGTCTAGGGTTTAGGGTTAAAGGGGACCCTAATTTCGAGAACTACCCATATCGCACCCTTGAAATCCTATAGAAACCCTGATAAACTCCTTGAAGGAACCCAAACAAGGGACCCAGTCTCCAGCCTGGAACACCGGATTTCAAACCCCTCGACCAACTCTACAACTCGGACACTCATGCCAGACTGATACTTCCTGAAATCCCCAAACCTGGCTCCGACATTCATCTTAGGGGGGGTTTTAGGGTTTAGGGCTTCCTCATAGTCATAACCCTAGATCCAAAACCCTAAACCCCAAGCCCAAACGCCAACTCCAGCTTTCGATTCGAGGGCGGTCTCGGACGAGGCGCGGTCGTGTCCGACGCAGCGGTGAGTCGACGTATGGAAGTCTCTCTACTGAAGGGGCCTTTTGTAACTAGGAAGCGGTCTAGGGTTTAGGGTTGTGCAGGGGCTTTTTGTAATTCTAAGTGGTTTAGGGTTTGGATTTAGGGGTGCTAAGGGTCACATGCATAAGATACAGATGCCTTTTGTAGGTCAATTCGACAAGGATTTAAGGTTGTAGGGCCTAGGGCTCATAGTCATAAACTGTAGTGTTCATGCGGGGTGTGAAAGTCTGAGTCATTGGAATAGATTTGCAGTATGTTTGAGGGGCATCTTACATGTATTATGGGCATACTACTACCAAGTGTCCGGACCTTATGTTATGTCAGTGCTTTCTGTCCGTGTCTCTTTCTCTCTCTACCTGTCCCTGTTTCGCTCTCTCTGTCTCTCTCTCCCTCACTCGCTCTCTTTCTCTCTATCTATATATGTGTTGTCTCTCTCTCTCTCTCTGTCTATANNTATATATATATACATATACATACAAGATCATTCATATATAACGAATATACACATATGCTGCTCAAGGACTGAAACCTACTGATACTGGGCTGCCGCAGGGTGGGCAACTTCCAATTCCAAGTGCCGCACCAGGAGGTGTCTTGGACCCAGCCAGCAGCAGTTTGGCAACAGACTTAGATTATGGTCACGATGGTTTGGGGTTGAGGCCGTAGGGATTTGGGATCTGTTTTATTATAGACTTTGAGCTCTCCAAGTAGACAGAACAAGTCGAAGGAATACCCAGGAGTAGCAAGATGTCAACCTAGTCGTCTAGAGGTTGAGAGCCATGAACGGCAGCTTAGAACCCACAGCCCTGCGGGCTCAGAGCTTAAATGGCCCCTTCGTCTTTGGAGAGAGAAGCCTTCAGTGAAGCAAGCTCTTCGTCCAGCTTCAATGTCTGGCCTTCCCAGTCATGGGGTTTGGTGAGGCTCACCGGTATGATTTTGGGCTTGGGGGCTCAGGGTTTATAGCGTGTTGCGGGCTTCGGCTTCGAGTCGAAAGTGTTTGGTAAAGTTTGTGTGGGGCTGAGGGTGTCGCTTAGCATGTTAGGGTGTCCTAGCTTTGCGTTGATGGCAAGCTTCGGAACGGAAGCTACACGAACAAATTGTACATACCAGGCACCCGCCCCCGAGCAATTGACACCCGAAGCGCTTGGGCGGGAGACTCAAACGACCAGAACTACCGTAAACCTTTAACCGCAAGACCCTAAACCTTATATTTAGGATTGAGTCATAGTAACGAAGTGTCATACAAGAAAAGACAACAGCAAGAACAGTGGGCGGTGGTCGTAGTGGTGGTCGTTGCTATCGTCGTCATCGTTGTCGTAGCAATCGCAGCCGTAGTAGCAGTAGTTGTGGCCGTCGCCGTCGCCGTCGTCGCAGTAGCAGTAGCAGTAG